CGGGGCCATGCAGGGACACTGCTCAGCAGGACACCCCAACACAGGTCGCAGGGCTTGCCGTGGCCTCAGCTCCCTGCCTGGGCTGCGGTGGACCCAGGGCTGAGCAGGCCATGTGTGGTGTGCCTGGCAGTACGCTGGGGCTTGCCCAGATCTGGGACTGCAGAGCAGGGATGAAGTGAGGTGAGAAGGGACCAAGAGTGGCTCCACTCCAGCAGCAAACCAGCCCCTTGGTGTACTGGCTCTTTCCTGTGTGAGACGGCAGCACCTTTTCCTGCTGCAGGAGAGGGAATGAGGCCCTTCGCCTCTCCCTCAAGGCTTTGCTCTGCTCCCCCCAAGCTCAGTGCAGCACCAGGCTTCGGCTCTCTGACCTGCTTCTTCCCTTCCTCCCACCAGGTTCTCCTCGCCTGCAGTCTGATGCCCGTCCCGCCCTGCAATGAGGCTCTTTCCTGTGTGAGACGGCAGCACCTTTTCCTGCTGCAGGAGAGGGAATGAGGCCCTTCGCCTCTCCCTCAAGGCTTTGCTCTGCTCCCCCCAAGCTCAGTGCAGCACCAGGCTTCGGCTCTCTGACCTGCTTCTTCCCTTCCTCCCACCAGGTTCTCCTCGCCTGCAGTCTGATGCCCGTCCCGCCCTGCAATGATTCTATGAGCCCCCTCCGGATCAGCATTGGTGGTCTGCCTGTCCTCGCGTCCATGACCAAGGGTGCTGACCCCCGCTTCCGACTGCGCTGGAAGGCCATCGTGCTGTCGTCAGCCTGTTTGGGCTTTGTGCTGCTGCTCTTCTGCCTGCACCGGTCCTCCCCGGCACGGCACAGCCCGCCCAGTCCTCACAACCGGCAGCTCAGCCTGCAGGCAGGGGACCGCTACAATGACACCTACCCGCTGTCCCCACCCCAGAGGAACCCCGAGGGTGTGCGCTACCGCATCGGAGTCATCGCAGACCTGGACACGCAGTCCCGGGGCTCTGAGGAGCACACCTGGTTCAGTTACCTGAAGAAGGGCTACCTGGTGCTGTCAGACAGCGGGGACAGCGTGACGGTGGAGTGGGACGAAGACGAGAGCATGCTGCAGTCCCACCTGGCTGAGAAAGGCAGGGGCATGGAGCTCTCTGAGCTGGTTGTCTTCAACGGGAAGCTGTATGCCGTGGACGACCGGACAGGAGTGGTTTATCAGATTGAGGGCAATAAGGTGGTGCCCTGGGTGATCCTCCCAGATGGGGATGGCACAGTGGGGAAAGGTAAGCTCCTCCATCCCATCCCATCCCATCCTGCAGACGCAGAGCAGTGAAACCCTTGGCTCTTTGCAGCTCGTTGGGTTGGGTGCACCTTTTCTGTGACCCAGGGGCAGTTCCTTCCTGGGGACCTGCTGGCTGCATAGGAGAAGGCTCTGCCCAGCACTAAGCTGTCTGGTGTGGTGTTCAGGGCAGTGGGGGTCAGTCCCATGTGTGTGTGCTGCCCGAGCCACAGCTCATGCTGTTCTCTCCACTGCAGGCTTCAAGGCAGAGTGGCTGGCAGTGAAGGACGAGCACCTCTACGTGGGGGGACTGGGCAAGGAGTGGACCACGACGACGGGGGAGGTGGTGAATGAGAACCCTGAGTGGGTGAAGGTTGTCGGCTACAAGGGCGACATCGGCCACGAGAACTGGGTGGCGAACTACAACGCGCTGAGGGCTGCGGCGGGCATCCGACCCCCAGGTACTGAGTGAGGCTCCCTCCGGCCACACCTCCCTCCTCCCCCTATCCCACACCCTCCAGGGCTGAGGCCTCCCTCACCATAGATACTGGGACGGTGTGAGGTTTAAAGGATGATGGAGGCCAGAGCCCTCTCCTTGTCCTGATGGGGACAGAGGAAAAACCTGTCCAGGGCTTTTCTCCCGTCTGTGGCACAAGCAGCTGGAGGGTGGCTTGGTGGCACTGTGTCTGCAGCCAGGCCCTGGAGCAGAAGAGGCCATTGCTGGGGTGCCCCTGCCCCACTCTGGGAGGGACTGGGGGCTCCTGCATGAGCAGTGGGGTGGAGGAGGTGGAAGCGTTCACGGTGGTTGCCTGCATGGGGCTGTGACCTCCCCGCTGCGGTGTCCTTTGGAGCCCGGCGAGTGCCCTGCGTCGTCAGACGCTGCTCCCTGCCGCAGGTTACCTGATCCACTGCAGCGCTGGTTCTTCCTGCCGCGCCGTGCCAGCCACGAGCGCTACAACGAGAAGGCGGACGAGCGGCGTGGCACCAACCTGCTGCTGAGCTCCACGCAGGACTTTGGGGACGTGACGGTGGGACACGTGGGGGAGGTGGTCCCCACTCATGGCTTCTCGTCCTTCAAGTTCATCCCAGACACGGACGACCAGATCATCGTGGCACTGAAATCGGAGGAGGACAACGGCAAGATCGCCAGCTACATCATGGCCTTCACGCTGGATGGGCGCTTCCTCCTGCCCGAGACCAGGATCGGGAGCGTGAAATACGAGGGCATTGAGTTTATTTAACAACTGTTGCACTGGACCGGAGGGACGCGGGGCCTCTGCCAGCGGGGGGCAGCCCCGGGCTCAGCCGAGGGACGCCAGGCTCCGCTCCCAGCTCTGTACTTGGCCTTGGCATCTCCCGTAAAGCATTGGCTCTGCTGCAGCAGGCGTGGTGCGAGTGTTTCGGCAGTGGCACCTGGTGGCAAGGGACTGCCACCACAGGGAGCTGCGAGCCCCAGCCCAGCAGACACGGCCAAGGCCCCATGTGCCAGATCCCCAGTCAGGCCATTAGTGCCAGCCCCTAACTGCGACAGAAACCCTCTGCAGCGAGTCAGTGGCTCTGGTGACATCCAACTGCTGGGTTTGCAGTGAAGGAGGAGCTTGAGCCCCAGCTCTGCTGCTCTGCCTCATGTCCCACCATGCCAGTGCTCCCCAGGAGGAGGTGAGGTGTCCTAGCCAAAGCACCGGGCCTGTGCCAGTACCTGGGGGAGTGGGTCAGACCCTGCCCTGGAGCCCAGCCACACTGGTAGCCTGTGCTGTGGCCACCCTGCAGGGGAACCTCTGAGCCACGTCCCCAGCACCTCATCGGGAATGTACTGGAGACAGAGGGACAAGCGTCCCTATGGGGAGGAGCATCCCTGAGGGCATTATTGCTGGATTCTGATCCTCCTGGGGTCACAGGGTGACAGAAGGGACAGGGCCATGCAGGGTATCACAGCCAGGGCAGGCAAAGCCCATCTGTGATGTCATGGCCACAGGGGATTTCATCAGGCTTTTCCCCAGAAGCTGTTCCCCTTCCCTTTTCCTGTTAGCTGGGGAGGTGACGGGCAGCCCTGGGCACTGTTTCCTGGGGAAGGTCTCATGTGGGAGGGGGCCGTGGTGTATTCCGCTGCCCGGCACTGAGGGGTCTCAGCAGTTCCCGCAATGCCGGTAGCACCGGGGCTTCTGATGGCCTCAAGCACCAGGAACTAGGGCCACTCCTGGCTCTGCTGTTCAGGCGCATGGGCTCTGCCACAGGGCTGGGGGAAGCACCAGTGCAGTGGCTTCAAGTGACTGATGGGGCCAACAGCTGTGGCCCTGTGTGCTGTGGGTACATCCCAGCGCCTCTCCCAGCCCGCACCCCAAGGAGGTGCATGGTCCTGGCCGTGTGTCTTCTCCCAGACGTGGCTGTGCACAGCTCGGGCCCCGGAGGTGCCTCCAGAGCTGTCAGCTCCGGGAAGAGCCGGGGCCTGGAC